AGAGCGTTGACAGAGAGGAGAAGGTAGAAATGACTCAGCCTGGAACTGAAAATATGGATGGAGGACAACAGAGCTGCTTCATGGAAGAAGAACCTATCATCTACCCACGTCATCATTTACCCAGAATGCTTTGYGTGTAAATAAAATGGCCCTGTCCGTGTAATATATTTTTAAACTTTTAGTTTAAAAATCATAAAAACTGGACATCCTACAGTATTTTTACAGTCTTTATTTTACAGTTAAAATATATGTTTATCAAATAAAGTCTAATGTTACAACTAATCGGGGGTCCCTTGAATATTTCTGTTCAACATGACTCCTTGTCTGAAACACAAGCTTCCAGCATACAGATGACACGATGAGATTATAAATTCATCCTGTGGCTGAGAGGACAGGGGTTTTGAAATTTAATTTTTGATCTCAGAGCTGAAATATCTTAATTATCTCAACCCATGAAGTCTGAGGAGTCTGTGTAATAACTTCCTGCTCAGTTTCTGCCTCTCTGAAGCCACCGGTTTTTTTTTGTCTGTTGGTAAATATTTCAGTTGCAAAACCAGAACAGAGTCCTAAATAAAAACCACTGCGTGACTCACATCCTGCATGTCCCCTTTAGTCGATAAAAACACACACGAGAACGTTCTGCTGCCAGGACCTTCAGCTCTGCTCTGCAGCTGTCTGCAGGACGCACATCCTCCATGATGGTAGTCACATCAAATTACAGGATGGTCCTCAGTAATATGTCCTTACAGAAACACATGTGGTGCATGGGATTTAATGACAGAGCACAGTGGGGTGAGCTGTGAGAAACTCCATCAGAGATGAAGAAATGAACAGAAACAACGGTTCTGTGCAGGAGSTGAGTGCTCGCAGGATGAGAGCGGAGCTGCAGCCATCTTTGCCACACAGCTGGATGACTTCCTGGGTGGTGGGCCCGTGCAGTACCGGGAGGTACAGAACTATGAGTCCCGCACCTTTTTGGGGTACTTCAAGTCTGGAATCAAGTACCAGGTGAGAGAGAGAGACCGGAGAGATCTGGGTTAGATCCTTAATCAATTCATAATCATAAAATACGTAGTGCTTTGTTTTTTTTGTTGTTTTTTTGGGATCTGCCTGGGACAACAGATGAAATAATGACTTTTATGTTGCGAAATGTTGATTAATCTGCACTGTTCCCATAATTAGAATAAACAAATCAAATCTACAGACTTGTAAAAACTTTTACATACTATTGGTTTTTGTTACTGCCCATTAAATACATTTATAATACATTTTCATAAAATAATCAGTGGATGAACGGCTACATCTAATTAACTTTTACAACAATTTCAACATGGCTGCCACAGCCAACAGCTGTAACTCTGTCAGATTTACACATGTTGAACACAGACTCTGTGTGTCAAATCTTATTATACAACATGAAATGAAACATATCAGTTTCAACGTTTGAACAAAAATGCTACAGTTGTTATTTGTCCGGTGGGCGACATGCATCCTGTGCCTGAGTTCTGGTCGTAAGAGTCACCAGAGACAGTGAGTGACCTGCAGCTGCTGGAAGAGCTCCCACTGCTGGAAGGGGTGTGTTTAATGTTTCTGTGGGAACAGAAGATTAAAAAGTGAGACTCGGTTCAGCATCAGTCAGTTGGATCTGAAGTTTAATGATTGTTCTGTTCATGAACTTTGAGTTCAGACTTCATCAGCAATTTTAGCTCCAGGGTGTGCCAGACCAACTGATCAACTGGAACCAAGCCGACCAGTGTCTTTGATGTGTGTGTGTGTGTGTGTGTGCGCGCGTGTGTGTGTGTGTGTGTTTATAATCAACAAAGTGAGGACATTTTCTCAGTCCTCACTTTGTTTGCAGCTCTGCTGTGATTTACTAGTAAGGTGGAGGTATGGTGTGAATCAAGTTCTGGTTCAGGTTAGTGTTAACTATAGACCAGTAATGGTTAATTTTACTAGTTAGGTTTAGAGGTATGGTGTGAGTTAAGTTCTGGTTCAGGTTAGTGTTAACTATAGACCAGTAATGGTTAATTTTACTAGTTAGGTTTAGAGGTATGGTGTGAGTTAAGTTCTGGTTCAGGTTAGTGTTAGACCAGTGTTGCACTGAGAGGTGTAGTGTAGAAAAGAGAAGTCATACTCTTAAATGGCTTTACAGCAAACAAAGCTGGTTTGTTGTTGTTGTTGTTGTTGTTGTTGTTGTTGTTGTTGTTTTATCAGGCCTCACAGCAGCTCTCAAGGTGGCAGCCCTTCCATCCATCTCACTAGATCCAGCAGTCCACCAATATATATACCCACTTTAGATCCCGCCTTCAATACAACTCGGCCAATCACCTTAGCCTTTCAGAGCAGGAAAGAAAAACAAAGAGTTTGACATTCACATAAACAATGTAAACACCAACAATTATTAATCCATAATGAGATGTAAAACATTATGCAAGTAAATGTACAATTCACAAGTCAGTTTACTCATTTAATTACTGAAACTTTCTTCTTACTCTTCACCAATCATACTCCAGCTCTTATCAGCTCACTTCCTATAAAGGAACTGGTTTTGAGGCAAGCCTCCTCTTTAGCTGAAACAAGATGGCTGCCACAGAGGACACACACATGGTAACAAACATTTAATCTGTACATTGACATATTCACAATTACACACCACATTCAGAAATTAAAACCAAAAGGTTAGAGAAGAACTTGGTGCTTCTTAACAACCAGTAATGGTTAGTTTTACTAGTTAGGTTTAGAGGTATGGTGTGAATTAAATTTTGGTTCAGGTTAGAGTTAACTTTAGACCAATAAAGGTTAACTTTACTGGTTAGATTTAGAGGTATGGTGTGAGTTAAGTTCTGGTTCAGGTTAGTTTTAACTATAGACCAGTAATGGTTAATTTTACTAGTTAGATTTAGAGGTATGGTGTGAGTTAAGTTCTGGTTCAGGTTAGTTTTAACTATAGACCAGTAATGGTTAATTTTACTAGTTAGATTTAGAGGTATGGTGTGAGTTAAGTTCTGGTTCAGGTTAGTTTTAACTATAGACCAGTAATGGTTAATTTTACTAGTTAGATTTAGAGGTATGGTGTGAGTTAAGTTCTGGTTCAGGTTAGTTTTAACTATAGACCAGTAATGGTTAATTTTACTAGTTAGATTTAGAGGTATGGTGTGAGTTAAGTTCTGGTTCAGGTTAGTTTTAACTATAGACCAGTAATGGTTAATTTTACTAGTTAGATTTAGAGGTATGGTGTGAGTTAAGTTCTGGTTCAGGTTAGTGTTAACTATAGACCAGTAATGGTTAATTTTACTAGTTAGATTTAGAGGTATGATGTGAGTTAAGTTCTGGTTCAGGTTAGTGTTAACTATAGACCAGTAATGGTTAATTTTACTAGTTAGGTTTAGAGGTATGATGTGAGTTAAGTTCTGGTTCAGGTTAGTGTTAACTATAGACCAGTAATGGGTA